AGTTGATTTTCTCTTCAGATTGTAGTGCAAGAAGTTTGGGTGGCTAGAGCTATAATGCATTTATTAGAAGACGAAAAACTAGTAGTGGAAGGAGCTGCTGCTGTAACATTTGGTGCTGTTTTAGCTGGATGTTTTCCAAATTTGATAGGAAAGAGGTGAATTAATTCGTTATTGTGTATATCGCATCATATAGATTTTTTATGATCCAACGGAGCAAAATTCTATTCTATTTAAATATCGCCGAAATGTCGCTATAACTAATACTGTTAATCCAATTATTGTTATACAACTTTTAGTAGCAGTAGGTAGAGCTGCCTGTGAAAGAGTTCATCCAGGAATTACCACTTACGGGTGCCATGGACACACACATAAACAACATCAAATTACACCCAAAGTTAACGAGAGAAATAGTGTAGGCCATACAAGTATTTCTTCCGGCCCGAAATTGGAACCCGGGTCCAGTGGCAGACCACCATGGTAATCGTTCGGCCACGGATGCAGATAAATGTTTGTGTAGCGTTCATCGAACAGTTCTGTTACCTTTTTCAACGTACAGGCTGTTGAATATAATTATTATATTTACACGTAGTTTATGTCAACAGGACGTTAAATTGCTTCCAACATCTGCTCTACATATTACAATTGAATTTAAACCTTTGTTACAGAGTGGCATGTGTGATAACTGGTGGAAATATTGATAATGTAATGTTGATTCGTGCTGTGGAGCAAGGACTTGGCGCCGAAGGACGTTTGATGAAATTTAGAGTGACCGTACAGGATCAGGCTGAGTCGACCGGCGAAATATGCTCTCTACTTGCTAGTGTTGATGCCTCGATACGGGACTGTCTTCCCCAGCATTGTTGGATGAATGGCGATATTTTTAGTGTAGAGGTTAAAGTGCTTTGTATTAATCTGCAAATTACATCGTACAGAGCACAATATTTTATATTTATAGATATGCTATCTTATGTAAAACGCAATTAGATTAAGTCATTATTATTTAACTGAAAACGAACTATAGTTAAACATGTTCAAGACAACTTTTGGTAGAAATAATAATTTATTTATTGTCAGAAATTTTATTAACCGATTTCAAAAATGAAGAGGTTCTCAATTCGATAGATTTTTTGTATGTATGTATTACTCCGAAATTTCTTAACCGATTTTGATAATTTATTTTTGTTGGAAAGGGGGTACCTCGGTAGTGGTTCCATTCAAATTTGAAGAATATATTCTACGTTAAGAGTCGCAAATTAGGGGATGAATCCGGTATATTGGATTTGACCCATTTTCCGATAACCGATTGCAATAATATGTGCCAGGCAACCACACCAATGCTAGGTGTCAAACTAGGGAATTCTTTGTGCTATAAGTACCAGAGCTATGGAATTCCTTCTGGGGCACTTTCCAGAACTCCTAGACCAGAACCAATTTAGAAAAGTTCATTTCCCAAATTTCATCCAGCGCCCACAGTGCAAACCGTTAGGCCACTGTTGAGATCGTTCTTGTTTTTTTCATAATATTAAGTGATGGGATGAACAAGTCGTGTATCTTATTACCATAAGATGCACGACTTGTTCGTCCCATCATTAATTAAGTTATACGCCTGTCCGTAACTGTGCAGTGCCACTCAGAGCTTTAAATCGCATAGATCTGAGGGACACTGCCACTGCGCCCGTCGCCCTGAGACATAAGTTGACAAGTCTCTTGTGTCTGTAATTTCACCAGCATTTCTAAATTACAATAAATCTTGGCAAATAGATTAGAATATAGATAATAGATTAGAATAGTTATACTTCCACAAACTTTTGATATCGATACTTATTTTTATAACAAGTTATAATTAAATTTAAACCTAATAGATAAAAGAAATAGTTTCGTTTCCAATACGTAGTAATTGCGAGAACTTAAGAACTCGTTTTTTTATTGTCATCATTTTTTACAATATGAAGTAAGTACAGTCGATGCCCTAAGGTACCTCCCCCAAGCCGACCTTTCAACCATGAAACAAAAAAGTGTAAAGGAATGCTAGCTTTATGGTTGAAATTTGTAGTTTTATGTAATGTAATTAAAGATACAATTTGATTAAAAATTTTCTTAAAATGTCATTCACTACTGCTGTAATAAGGAAGTCATACCAAAAGTACAAAGCTTCATTCGGATCACGCGTCTTTTAATTTGGTTGAGTATTATATAATTGACAGTAATTGTTCCCACCGGATGACAGACGGAGAACAGGAGTAGACCCCCAGGTGTCTTAGGGCATTGACTGTACCTCAGAAGACAAGGCCGCGAAATAAACGTTACTTAACTTAGATTTACATCACGATTTTCTTACAGATGATAATAATAGCCGAGACTAAAGGCTGGGATCATTCGAGGGAAGTAATGGATGTAGTAAAAAAGACATTTAAAAACAGTTACTTCCTTGGCATGGAAGAGCAGCCTGCTTCGTTAACAATCACTTGTCGTGGTCCTTGTATGCCTCAGCCTCAAGCTCAATTCGGTTTGTGAATATTGAGATGGCCAATAAATATCAAATTAAAATCTACCTCAAATTATCTAGACAACTTGTGTTGTGAAGTATCATGTACGGTGGATATTATTTTTTGATTGAATAAAGTAATAGTGTCATTGTGTCTACTGTCTTTTTGTATGTTACGAGATAACTCCGGCGATATTTGTGAACCGATATTCGATGATTGTTTTTTGTTGGAAAGAGGGCACCTCAGTATTGGTCCCAATTAAATTTGAAGAAAATATTCCACTTCTAAGGGTGGCAAACTAGGGGATGAATCCGGTTTCGCGCACTTTCCGGTAACCGATTTCAGTAAAACTAGACAAGTAGATGTAATTTCACGAACATTTGAGGTCGGATTTTTAGTACTCGGTACTGAGATTATTCAGTTACTGTAGTTACACAATTGTTAGCATTGTTATTATATAAAGATTTCAACTATAAAAATTTTCAAATTAAAAATTAGAAGAAGTATGGTATTGAAAGTGGTTGTCGACAGTGTCCTGATATATGTAAGGCTGACAGGGTAGGTCAAAGAGAACAATTTATGATAGTAATTTTTATGGGAACTCGCAAAAGACGACTTTCTACACGCGAAAAATATTAAACTGAGGGTCATATTCCACAACTATACTCAATGCTCAAGTCAGGACTTGAGTGTGATTTAAAGTACTAGAAATCATACTCAAGTCCTTGCCATTAGGGTCGTATTTCCAGTGTTTGAAATCATACTCAAATCCTGACTTGAGCATTGATTAGAGTTCTGGAATACGACTTTGAGTGACCTAGGTCATAAGAACGGGTGACAATTGGTGACGATGTTAAATTTTTTTAAATTTACAGAATATGCTGTACAGATATCTAGAATTTGGCCAATTTTTATATAAAGTTTTAAAATACTTCTGATCTCAGATATATATAGTTTTTTATTGCACTTGGCCATAATTTCTCAAACGAACGCTACGTGCTCGTATATAAGTGAATGTAAAGTAGAATTTTCAGCAAATATTTTGACTTATCTTTGGGTGTGGTCCAACGTACATGCAAAATTAGTCTTATCCTCAGAAACAAACTTAGAGATGTTGTCGATTGATAACTTAAGTATTTATAGTAAATACTAACGTAACCTATCCATGGACACAATCGAAAGTGTCGATCGTATCAGCGACTATTAGCTACTGATTTACGCCGGCAGTGGCGACGGCGCAGCATTGCATTTTCTTGCCTCATGTTTTTGGTCTGATAACCATTTATCACTTTTACACGTATTTTACATGATCTGGTATTTTTGTTTTTGTATAGATCTAATTAAATCTTCCATAATTTTGAGATATAAGTTCTAATATATGATAAAAAGATCTCAAAATTTCTTTTGAACCTTTAGTAACCTAAATACTGTTAACATTACTGACTTCCTTATCATAACTAAGGTGTTCGACATTTTTAGCGAAATGAAGTTATTAACATAGTTGAAATCAGCGAAATGGGATTTACAACCCCTCATCATCAATCCATTTATATGTCCCACTGCTGGGCACGGGTCTCCTCTCAGGCGAGGGTTTAGGCCATAGTCCGCCACGCTGGCCCAATGCGGGTTGGGGACTTTACACATATTCCGAGGAAAGTGAACCTTCTTCGACATGTAGGTTTGATCACAGTGTTTTCCTTCATCGAAAAGCTCATGATAAATTTTCAAATTAAATTTCGCACATAAATTCCGAGATACTCATGAGGTGCGAGCCCGGATCCGAACCCTCGACCCTCTGCTTGAGAGGCAGTAGGTCAAACCATTAGGCTACCACGGTTTCACTACAACCCCTATAAGCGGTTTTTTTCATATTTTATTTAGTTTCAGTTTTATTATTATTAATACAAAGATCGAACACTTAGAAAAAATTTCTTCGATCCGGCCGGATTCCTCTGGTTCGTTCCGTAGCTTAGTTGGCATAGCGTCTGGCACAGTTTGCTAGAAGACGTGGGTTCGAATCCGGCCGGATCGAATGAATTTTTTTAAGTATTCGATCTTCGTATTAATAATTATAACAAACTAGTGGAGTAATTTCACATAAAAAATAATTGAACATCAATTCAATAAAAATTTAAATGCAGTGAATAGCGACATCTCTAACCGGGTCTGGTAGCTGTAAAGGCATCTAACTGGGTGACGAAATACTTTCATAGATTTTTCATAGATAGCGCTACGGCTAAAAAGTCGTAGAAAAACCAAATACAAAGATACGACAATAAGCACATGGAAATTCATGACGTCCGCTGGTTAGTTCCGTGGCTTAGTTGGCATAGCGTTTGGCACGGTTTGCTAGAAGACGTGGGTTCGAATCCGGCCGGGTCGAAGGATTTTTTGTAAGTGTTCGATCTTTGTATTAATAATTATAACAAACTAGTGGAGTAATTACTCCTCTACTTTGTACAATGTGAAATTTCACATATAAAATAATTGAATATTAATTTAATAAAAATTTAAATTCAGTTTTATTGTTAAGCAAAGTGAGCGTAATTCACATTTTTTAGGTGATAAAACTTTAGGTGCCAATATCTCGAAAGTTACCGATATGCAAATGCGTTTCTTATGACAAGGAGGGTAGACACTAATAAAGTGTCGCTAGAGCCCACGTAAAACATTTTTATGGCAAATTGTACAGTAAGTACTTACTACCCATGACACACTCTTTCACAAGGAGCTCTATTGCTACTAATATTTTAAAATTTAATTTAATTTCATTTAGATTTAATTTAAAATACAAATATTTTACGCGTATGCTAGCGCTGATCGATATATCGAGTAAAATGGGCACTTACTATGGGTACTTTAAATATGTCACACGTCAATCTTACCAACTGCAGGGCGTACATGTGAGGTAGGTACAGGATCAAGAGTACACCAAGCTTACATTTACGTTTTAAATTCAACTCTATGTCGCTTGCGATAAAAACGGTCCAAAATCTTAATCATGATTTGGTCTTATGAATATGATCAGTAACTAATGAAAGTGTCAACACGTCTGTCGTGGTCGAGTTATTTAGCTGTTCAGAGTGCTTAAAATATTTACACATTTGGCAAATATCTTATAAACATAAAAATTGAAACAGAAAACAATTTAAAACTTCAGTGGAGTTTGACATAAAGTGATTTTTATTAAAAATATTACGCAGGCATTTTGAGCACTATAATCGTTTAAAAAAAAATCAGTTTCGATATGTGTACATTTTTGTTTAGAGTGATCATTCATACAATTTTGTTGACTGTACTTTTGGTGCTTTTAACCTTAGAATAATAACGCATAGAATGACAGTTTCATATCAAACGAACTGTCACAAGTGAGGCAAAAATCAAATTCATGTAGGCTAGTTTTAGTAGTAGGTTAATTTTCGGTTTTAGTGAATATTTATATATAAATACAAGTTGAAACGCGTTACTTCCTTGTGGAATGTGATGTTAGTATCTATTTTATGTCTGTCTGACGTATTTTTACACTCATTTACCGCACATTTCGTCATTATTAGCTAAAATTCTTGAGCTGTTCACGGTGCAAGTTGACCTTGAGCACTGAAGGCCCGCCCGCTCGTGTAGGCCCATTGGGCGCGCTTTTGCCTTACTTAGCGTGTGTGGACTAGGTTTCTATGCGTTATTATTCTAAGCTTTTAACTATCAACTGTCTTCGTGGCCGAACGGTTACCATGCCACGCAGAGGTCTCAGGTTCGATTCCCGGGCCGGGAGAAATATTTGTATGGCCTACATTTATTTATCTCGTGATTTTGGGTGTAATTTGTGGTTGTCTATTCGTGTGTGTGTCCATGGCACCCGCGACATAGCGTTTCCGCAGTGTGGGGCTATGTTAAGTGTGTGTGTGCGTTATACAATTGAATACATTTTCAATAATAGATGGAAATTTTAACAGCTTCTTTAAAGATTAGTCCTTTCTCTCTTACTTTTTTATTTACTAGTACCCAATGATCTTATATGTAAAATAAAGGCTAGAACCCAAATAATATAGCTGTAAAAAAGGAGACAATTTGTCAGCTTGTTTAGCAAACTCCTGTTTCTAACGACAGCACTAAAGTGGCTATTGTATAAAAAAATTGCATTCTGTTCCCTGTACAAAGGCTTCTAGCTTTCTACGGCAGACAATTGAGTGTCTCTATTGAAAGCGCGATCGTATCGGTTGGTAGTTATTAGCGGTTGATTTACTCCAGATAGTGAACACCCCCCATTTACTGCTAAAGAACGGTGGCGCCAGGATCTTTCACTGCTTAAAGAGATTTACCGCTAGTGTTGATGAGAATAAGTGAAGGGGTTTGGATGGTTTCATCATATAGAAAGGAAAGGATGTCGTCAGTAAAATGTACGTTGTACTATGGGGAAAGGTTCGATTTCGGCGAACATATCTTTTTTTTATGATACCTAGTGACGGGGCGAACGAGTCGTGCGTCTGGTGGTAAGCGACAAGCCTGTTCATCAGACATAAGTTGACAAGTCCCATGTGCCTGTAATGTCACCAACACTTTTACCCTTCAAAACCGGAACGCTGTAATGTTTACATTACTGCTTGGTGGCAGAAATGGGTAAGGTGGTAGTACTTCCCTGGACGAACTCTTTCACAAGGAACACTATTGCTAATAACAAGGATTTCAACCAGACTGAGGATGGCCTTAAACCAAGTCACAAGCAATAAGAATGAACTGGTGTGTGTGGGAAAGACTGATGCGCGTCGAAAAAGCGAAAGAAAGACAGGGAAGGGTATGACAGGAGTGTAGCGGGTGGAGGTCTTATTTCTCTCCCTTTGCCTGTGGCAGATATGTGCGATTGTATGTTTGTAATACGAGCTTTCATTTCAATATTAGCGTAAAACAAAACTGTACAAGTTGACATTTTTTATTTGGCAGTACTTTAAGGGGTGATTTAGCTCATCAATCTGAACAACTGGAACGAACAACTTCTGATTGCGACAAAAAGAAATCATCTGTCGTATAAATACTTACGATTATTTTTTTCATCCTCTAAGTATAAATATAGTGAGAACTTAGTATTGCCATTTCTCTCCCTAATTTGTTTTCATGTATCCTTAAATTTTTTTGGTGTTTATGAAAACCATTTA